TGTGATAGACCAACACAAAGTGGCACATAATTGTGAAGTGGAAGGAAAGTGATTGATAAATGGTTTTCAAAATTTTTTTTTTTTAAATAAATATCTGAATAGTGTGGCATGGTTTGCAGTTGTGCCGTACTCTATTTTTGGATGATGGATTAAACAGTGCTCCAAGGGATGTTCAAAGCTTGGGATATTTTTTTTATAACCTAACCCTGCTTTAAACTTCTCCACAACTTTATCCCTGACCTATCCGCTGTGTTCCTTGGCCTTCATGATGCTGTTTATTCACCAACGTTCTCTAACACACCTCTGAGAGCTTCACAGAACAGCTGTATTTACTACTGAGATTAAATTACACACAGGTGGACTCTATTTACTAATTAGGTGATTTGTGAAGGCAATTAGTTCCACTAGATTTTAGTTAGGGGTATCAGAGTAAAGGGAGCTAAATTTAAATGCACGCCACACTTTTCAGATATTTATTTGTAAAGTTTTGAAACCATTTATCATTTTCCTTCCACTTCACAATTATGTGCCACTTTTTGTTGGTCTATCACATAAAATCCCAATAAAATACATTTACGTTTTTGGTTTTAACTTGACAAAATGTGGAAAATTTTTAAGGTGTATGAATACTTTTTCAAGGCACTGTACAATGGGTAAAATAAGTATTGAACACTTACTGTATATATCACCACTTGTCTGTAACAACCCATACATACAAAGAAACCAAAACAAATAAGTTCAGAAATTAAGTTATGTGTAATAAAAAGGAATGACACAGGGAAAAAGTATCAAACAAGCTACATGAAATTAATATAATACTTTGTACAAAATCCTTTGTTGCTGGTCATGACAGCTTCAAGACGCCTCCTGTCCAGAAAAAAAACTAGTTCCATGCATTGCTCAGGTGTGATTTTGGCCCATTCTTCCACACAAACAAATAAATATTGAAGGTTCCATGGGCCTCTTCTATGAACTCTGATCTTTAGGTTATTTCCATAGATTTTCTATGGATTCAAGTCAGACGATTGGCTGGGCCATTCTAGCAATTTTATTGTCTTTGAAACCAGTTGAGTTTTTCCTTGGCTTTGTGTTTGGGATCACTGTCTTGGTGAAATGTCCATGCCGGTAATGGCAGATTTTTACCAAAAATGTCTCGGTACATTTTTCCATTTATCCTTCCTTCAATATTAAGTTTGCCAGTACCATATGCTGAAAAACAGCCCCACACCATGATGTTCCCACCTTCAAACTTCACTGTTGGTATGGTGTTTTTAGAGTGATGTGCAGTGCCATTTGACCTCTAAACATGGTGTGCATTATGGCATCCAAAAAAAATTTAATTTTGGTCTCCTATAACCAGACTATATTCTCTCAGTATCTTACAGGCTTGTCTAAATGTTGTGCAGCAAACATTAAATGAGTGTCAACATGCTTTTTTTTCAGCAATGGAGTCTTGCATGGTGAACGTGAATACAGGCCATGGCGGTTGAGTGCATTACTTATTGTTTTCTTTGAAACAATTGTACCTGCTAATTTCAGGTCTTTCTGGAGTCCTCCACAAGTGGTCCTTTGCTCTTGGACACTGCTTCTGATGAATTCTTTTCACTCCTCTCTCAGAAATCTGCGAGGAGCACCTGGTTGTGGCTGCTTTATGGTGAAATGATGTTCTTTCCACTTCCGAATTATGGCCCCAACAGTGCTCATGGAACATTCAGAAGTTTAGAAATCCTCTTGAACCAATACCATCAGTATGTTTTGCAAAAATAAGATTGTGAAGGTCTTGAGAGAGCTCTTTGCTTTTACCCATCATGAGATGTTTCTTGTGTGACACCTTTTCATAGACCATCAATTGAGACTGAACCAGCTGATATTTATTTGCACTGAAAGGGGAAGGATTGCTTTCTAATTACTGATAGATTTCAGTTTGTGTCTTAGCTTTCCATGCCTTTTTGCACCTCCCTTTCTTCATGTGTTCAGTACTTTTTTCCTGTGTCATTCCATTTTATTGCACATAACTTAATTTCTGAACTTATTTGTTTTAGTTTCTTTGTATGTATGAATAGAATGGATTGTTACTGACAAGTGGTGAACATTTCACGTCAATAGCATATTTATTGAGAAAAAATGGTGACATGTTAAATACTTATTTTACCCACTGTGTGCATATATATATATATATATATATATATATATATATTATATATATATATATACAGTCAGGTCCATAAATATTGGGACATCGACACAATTCTAAACATTTTTGGCTCTATACACCACCACAATGGATTTGAAATGAAACGAACAGATGAGACCAAGATCAACTTGTACCAGAGTGATGGGAAGAGAAGAGTATGGAGAAGGAAAGGTACTGCTCATGATCCTAAGCATACCACCTCATCAGTGAAGCATGGTGGTGGTAGTGTCATGGCATGGGCATGTATGGCTGCCAATGAAACTGGAAATAACACACACCTGTCTCCTAGGTGGAGCCCTCCTGACTCCTGGGTAGAGACTTCCTTTGTCTGCTGGGGTGGAGAACAGTCAGTCTTTACTAAATGCATATGTTTAGAATGGGCATATGTTTAGGACAGGCAAATGTAGATTTAAAATTGAGACAAATTTTAATTTTCATCGCTAGAATCCTTACCCTTATGTATGTTGATAGTAGGGACTGAACTCCTAAAATGCTAGTGGCTGGCTGTGCCAGGCTTCAGAACATATAATTTACAGACTGGGAACAAGCATGCAGCAAGACCAGAAATCCCTATCTCCAGTATCTCACAGAAGTGAGTACACCCCTCACATTTTTGTAAATATTTTATATCTTTTCATGTGACAACACTGAAGAAATTACACTTTGTTATACAAGCTGTGCACTCACTGCTTTACATTGTAGCAGTGTAAATTTGATGTCCCCTCGAAATAACTCAACACACAGCCATTAATGTCTAAACCACTGGCAAAAAAGTGAGTACACCGTTAAGTGAAAATTGTCCAAATTGGGCCCAAAGTGTTCAATACTTATTTTACCCATTGTACAGTGCCTTGAAAAAGTATTCATACACCTTAAAATTTTCCACATTTTGTCAAGTTAAAACCAAAAACGTAAATGTATTTTATTGGGATTTTATGTGATAGACCAACAAAAAGTGGCACATAATTGTGAAGTGGAAGGAAAATGATAAATGGTTTCAAAACTTTACAAATAAATATCTGAAAAGTGTGGCGTGCATTTAAATTTAGCTCCCTTTACTCTGATACCCCTAACTAAAATCTAGTGGAACTAATTGCCTTCACAAATCACCTAATTAGTAAATAGAGTCCACCTGTGTGTAATTTAATCTCAGTAGTAAATACAGCTGTTCTGTGAAGCTCTCAGAGGTGTGTTAGAGAACGTTGGTGAATAAACAGCATCATGAAGGCCAAGGAACACAGCGGATAGGTCAGGGATAAAGTTGTGGAGAAGTTTAAAGCAGGGTTAGGTTATAAAAAAAATATCCCAAGCTTTGAACATCCCTTGGAGCACTGTTTAATCCATCATCCAAAAATAGAGTACGGCACAACTGCAAACCATGCCACACTATTCAGATATTTATTTAAAAAAAAAAAAATTTTGAAAACCATTTATCAATCACTTTCCTTCCACTTCACAATTATGTGCCACTTTGTGTTGGTCTATCACATAAAACCCCAATAAAATAAATTCACGCTTTTGGTTGTAACATGACAAAATGTGAAAAATGTCAAGTGGTATAATTTCACAGGGCACTGTGTGTGTGTACACACACACACACACACACACACATACACACACCCCGAAAATGGCAACAGTCTTCTAGGATTTCGAGAGAGGTGCCGACTATTTGCAAGGAACGCTTGAAAACCATATAGCGTGCATGAGCCGTTTTCAGCACTGAACATCTGGAAAAGTAGCTTGGTGCAGAGATAAAAATGTCATGTTTGTGTGGTTACTCCTGAGTCAGGCCATGAAAATACGGATCGTCCCTTGTACAGTAAATACGGCTGCCCTCATATACATACAGTTGTGTTCAAAATAATATCAGTGTGTTGAAAAAAGTGAATAAAGCTCAAAATTCTTCTAATAGCTTATTTCCATACACACATATGCATTGGGAACTTTGGCAGCGTCAGCTGTGTAAGGTCATATTAAAAATGTGAGTTTTTCAGAGCTTTTGCATTAGTGTTTAGCCATGTCTTTCAGCATTTTTTTTTTGCTCAAAAAGGTCCAAAAACGATGGTTTGCCACATTTTTCCAGCGTTAAGAGTATTTCTACAGCTAAAAAACTCCTCTAGAAACCCACTAGTTCTGGGGCTTTTTCAAAGCCAACAAAATGCCCCTGATTACAGTCTATGTGTGCATGGACACATAGGATAACATGCTGGGGGGTTTACTGGCTGTAGAAAAAAACACCAAAAGCCAAAAACAGCAGCTGTAAAAACGTCCAGTGTGCATGAGGACTAAAGGTTAGCAGTGGCAACCTCCACACTTCTCTCATGAAAGGCATACTTTAGTAACTCTGAAACTAATCATGTAATTATACTGAAGGCTAACAATCCCACTAAGCAATCACCTCTAGGATATGGACTTTGGAAAATGCAGGAAAAAGGACAGATTGAGTTTTTTGAGGAAAGACATAACTGTCTTTAAGTACACAGCTTTTTGCTGCATGTACATTTCTTTCTATACCCATATCATTTTGCACAGACAGTGATTTAAACAAAACAACAACATAACAGGCTCAAAGGATCTTTATTTTTCAAATAAAAAAATACAAAGATGAGTTAGAACATCAACATGGCTTCTTCTTTTCAAACTAAGTATTCACCAAATGCATCCATAAGGCACTTAGATATTCAGAGTTGTATTTAAAAAAATAAAATATGCATTGAAGCAAACATTCCCAGACACACATCTTTAGTTGATGTCTGTATGTACAGAATTACACAGTAGTACATATTTACACTGATTTACTTTGCTGTTATAACGGGACCTTCGGCTGCCTTGTTAACTTCAATGCCTGAAATACAAAAAAAAAACAAAACCAGAAAGGTATAAATGACTGAAGGTTATTTTAATGAATTAAAGCTAAATTTAGCATGCCACTTCCTCCATATGAGTCTTTTTTATTCACATATTTTTTTCCTGGAAATCTACACAATTTTGTACTTATGCCAAGATGCCTTGAGACATTGTATAGGAAAACCATCAATCCACCCAGTATGGATATGTCAAAGTTTTCATTGGCCACTTGTTTACTGAATCATTCACCAGCCTCCTATATTTCTGTGAGTCATCAAAATCCATGGCAAAGTCGTGCAATGAATGGTGTCTCTATCCCTTCCCAACAAAATCACTAGAAAGATGTCATTCTGTCACTATCACAGGTCCCTGACCAAGCCATACTGTATACCTACACTGAACGTCAGGGAGCAGATTGTGTTTCCTAGCTTAAGTGTTGAGATCACCGGAATTCCTGAGAATTACAAATCTTTTGGCAGACAAGAGTGCTTAAATGTTTCAGCTGTTTACTTTGCTGCACAGGTAAATTTGCTCTGAATTCAAAGGATGCAAATCTCTGTCTCATCATTGGTACTGTCATTGTTTATGAGTATATCTGCAAGTTACAAAGGTGCCCTGTTGTGGTGAATAACTTTCACATATACTTGTAGATGTGAGGATTTTATGTAATCTTCAGGCCTAAAATGATTTTTTAAGAATCTATGCAACAAACGCAAAAATGTCTCTGGCAGCAAACAGGTTAAACTGTAGCACCCCAGGACCAAGAACCCCGGGTCTCCTACTAACGACTGGGAACCAGGAGTACCAGTTCTCGATCACCTGATCACTGTGATAGCATCTGATTGGCTATCACAGTGACCAGTCACTTTGCAGCCCACCGCTGGGTTTTTTTTCTCTCCTCTGAATGGAGAGAAAAATACATTGTATCTTTGTATGAGGGGTGGTCAAGTCAAACCGGGACTATTCATTTTACAGGTATGAAAAGGGATGCTAGCGTGGCGGTACTACACACAGTAGTAAGTGGCAAATGTGTCCTATTACTGATAGGTGGCACACATGTCACGAGCCAGTTCAGAGACCGTTAATCAAGATGGCAGACAACATTGTTGGTGCGTGCATGGAACAGCGTGTGGTGATGAAGTCTCTTGTGAACGAAGGCATAAAACCCACGGATATCTACAGAAGACTTCAAGCACAGTATGGTGATGACACTCTCAGCCGCAGTAAGACATGTGAATAGTGTAAACATTTCAAAGATGGCCATTTGCCCGTCAGTGACAATCCTGGCCGTGGTGGTTCCCAACTCACATCAATCATTCATGTGAACATTCAGCGCATAACCTGTCGTGAAATTGCATAGAGATGAATGTTTCTGTGGGATTGGTGAACACAATAATGACGAAGTGAAGCAGGTTGTCCTAGGATGGTTCAGGTGTACTGACAAAGCTTTCTATGTTTGTTTTACCCTCAGTCAAGAAGGGGTTAATTAAAAAAATTTTAAATTAAAAAAAATTAAAAATTAAAAAACTGCCTGCTCTTCAGCTTTTAAGGGTGTCACAAATGGACAGATATCATCACAAAATACAGAAAAACATCTGAAAACCAGCCTGGGTACAATAGTCAGTGTTACTAGCAGGTTGACAGTTTACAACCAGCATTCTTTTCATCTTATTGAAATACAATCGCAATACATCAACAATCTATACTACTCACTGGCAGATCAACTAACATTTATGGAATTTGTACATGTGCATAGGTTAGGAGAATAGAAGATTTTAGGGGTATAATGAATACACAGATCCTGGTACAGTATGTCAGATCAGCTACAGGCCAAGCCAAGCAGGAACAAATCTATCACTGGAATAACTTGTTTGGACACTAATATTACACTATACAAGGTAACTGTACACTATTCCACCTCTGTTGAATGAGTGAAACGCAGAATTTTTTTTTTAGTTTTCTCTTCTCAGAACAGAGCTGTAACATTGACTTTCTGAACTTAAAATATTAGGACATCTCACTGGGAAAAAAAATTCTGCTTTAGTAAACATCTGTTCTTTGTGATATCTGTGCACAAAGACTACTTTTGCTTTGAGATTTCAGTCACACTCCAGAAGTAGAAATGCGGAATTCAAGGCTCTAAATATTTAACAACAGTCCCACATTAACAGTCGGCATAGGTGTCATCCTTGTTTTCAAGAAGCCACAGGGGGCAAAACAATATTACAATATGACAGTGAGGAATTGTTTGTGATTGACTTAATTACCGAGGAACGTAAAATAGATTTCAAGGCATTCTAGTTTGTATATGAAGGAGAAGAACTATTTAAATACACTTTACTTTTTCTCCATAATTTGAAAGCATCAAAAGACTTCTCAAAGACTTGCTTTAACAAGTGAAAAGCTATCTTGGTTCAAACGCAAATATTTAAAAGAATGGATTAACCTTGCATTGGTCTTATTGAGCTTTTGTTGAATTTTGAGTTTAATTAATAAATCTATATTCATAAAACAAATATATATACACGAGATGTGAGCGCTCTAAAAATCAATGAAAGCCGCTATGCACAAAAGGTTACCAAAGAAACCTTAATATAAGCAATATAACATAGGTGCAGTGCTAAAACTAAATAGATAAATAATTGAATAAATAATGAACCTAAAATGACAAATCAATGATGGTAATACCAGTTCATAAACAGTTCAAAAAGTGTTAAAGTGCTCTTTAAGGTGCTTGCTTCCTGGGATCGGTGACTGTGCAAATGATATAGAGAATGCGCACTCACCGGACGCGCATATAAACTGCACCTGTATTAAATCCAAAAGGACATTTAATACAGGCGCATTGTATATGCGTGTCCGGTGAGTGCGCATTCTCTTTATCATTTGCACAGTCACCGATCCCAGGAAGCAAGCACCTTAAAGAGCACTTTAACACTTTTTGAACTGTTTATGAACTGGTATTACCATCATTGACTTTTAATTTTAGGTTCATTATTTATTCAATTATTTATCTATTTATTTTTTAGCGATGCACCTATCTTATATTCATCTAACGTTTAGCTATATATTTGTAGAAACTATCATTTTTGTTAATGTAAAAAAAAAAAAAAAAAAAAAAAAAAATTCTGGATTTTAAAAGATTTTCATTTTCAGTTTCTCCATGATAATTAACAAAGCAAGAATGAATGTGCAATTTAAATTCATAACCTTCACTGAAGCAAACACTATTCAGTACTATGACAAAACCCAAGCAGTAGAGATTACCTTTTGTCTGGCAAGCATCCAAGATTTTATCGTTGGCACTAATACACTTCCAAGTAGAATTTGAGCCGGGTGATAAATCAACAAAGGAACAGATATTAATGAGAGATGTTCATATCCCGCAAACACAATCTTCAGCATAGGAATACCTGGAGACAAAGATACAATCTTATTACTGATAGCTGTAAAGTAACATATCACCTTCACTTGCACTGTTTTAACAAATATGCACATACAGCTCTTGGCAATAAACCATATTAAATGTGTGTGCATCTTAATCTGCAGAACTTGGAATTGGCTTAATACATCAAACAATCCAAAATCCTGCTCCAAGACACCCCAGTAATTTTAAATGTATCCTGAACAATTGAAAAATGACTGCACTGAAGTCTATACCCGTCATCCAATGCTCCTAGCAATTTGCTAACACAGGGAAAACACTAGAAAAATACAGATTACACACAGACAGTATATACACGAATTAGCCGCAACATAATGACCACCTTTCATAACTCATTGAGGCATGGACAGCACTAGACCTCTAAATGTATGCTGTAGCACAGTGGCTAAGTGGTTAGCACTTCCGCCTGGCAGTACTAGGATCGTTGGTTTGTATCCCAGCCACGGCACCACCTGCCTGGAGTTTTCATTTTCACCCTGTGCCTGCGTGGGTTTCCTCAGGGTACTCCGGTTTCCTCCCACACTCCAAAGACATGCTGGTAGGTTAATTGGCTCCTGTCTAAATTGGCCCTAATATGTGTATGTATGAATGTAAGTTAAGTTAGGGACCTTAGATTGTACACCCCTTGAGGGTTAGGGACTGATGTGAATGTACAATATATATGTGTAAAGCGCTGCGTAAATTGATGGCACTATATAAGTACCTGAAATAAATAGTATCAGGCACCAAACCGTCAGCAGCAGATCCTATAAGTACTGTAAGTTGTGAGGTGGGGCTTTCATTGATCAAACTGTTTTTTTTCAGCATATCCAACAGATGCGCCAATAGATTGAGATTTAATGAATTTGGAGGCCAAGTCAACACCTCAAACGCATGTTGTGTTCCCCAAACCATGTCTGAATTAATTAGACCAGACCGCCTTTTTCAATTCCTCCATGGTCCAGCTTTGATGCTCACAACCCCACTGTAGATGCTTTTGGTTGTGGACACGGGTCAACATAGACACCCTGACTGATCTGTGACTATGCAGCTCCATATGCAACAAACTGCAAAGCATTGTGTGTTGACGACTTTTTATCGCAATCAGCATTAACTTTTTTGGCAATTAGAGCTACATTAGCTCCTCTATTGAATTGGACTACGTAGGCTAGCCTCTGTTTTCCATGTGCATCAATAAACCTTGGCCACCCATGCCCCTGGCACGTGTTTGATGGTTTTCCTTCCTTGATTCACTTTTGGTAGGTTTTGCCCACTGCACACCAGGAACATCCCACAGCAGCTGCACCATCGATCTACTGATCGCTGGTGCAATGCTATCCAGGCTCTTGCAGATAAAAATAATAAATGCACATTTTTTTTGTTACCTGAAAAAAAATTTTAATTTGTTATTTTTTTGTAAAAGGTGAACTTATCCATTAGCAAACGTCATGTGGGAGACTGCATTATTGCCAAGTTAAAATCTACAAAAAAAAAAGCATTTTTACATAGCTATTGTATTCCCCAAGGTGGGTAACAGAAATATGGAAATATGTAAGGCTGTGGCTATAGGATCCTCAATGGTACCATTTGCCCAAAAGGCACACTAAAGTATCCATACTAGCTGGGAATTGTAAAGATCATGCAGCTCTTCCAAAAATGATCACACTATCTGTACAGCGCAGTGAAATAAAGTATGTTGCTTATTTGATTCAATGCATAAAGAAAACAGCACAAGTTAAAGCTTAACTCAGTTCAAAACTGAGTTTTGAACAGAGTTGAGCACAGGTTATATCATCTGCCAGACTGATTTTCACTCTTGTCTGCATTCACAAGATTTCCCCAGAAGATGGATCAAAATTCATCCAGTTTAGCAGGGATCAGCTGAATTTCAATCCATCTATGGCCATTCTCATTCGAGAGTGGTTGATCGAAGGACCAACTCCTCTCGAACAAGCTTGTCAGAAAAGTTTGCTTTGATCTACACAGCAGCACTGTTTCGTGTATTCTGACAGAGAAAGTTTCCCTGTCACAATACAAAGATACAGCAAATAGGAATTCCCCTATCCACCTTTATTGTGTAATTGATTCAGCTTTTTTATAAAAAAAAAAAACTGCTATGTGCATGATCAGCTTTAGTCCTGTCCAACTAACAATACTGGGTATACATACAACTGATAGAGAGCGAGAGTAGTCTTCTCCCATCTGCTAAAACAATTTATGATATTGCAGTATTGTCCCTGTTGGATAGATTTCCCCCACTTCCTTCTCATACGTCAATGCTGTGTCTGGGGCAGGAAGTGAAGGGAAATCTGCACAACAGGTATAACATTTTTCCACACTGTCTAGAACAAAAAAAGATAATGTTTCAGGTGTTGGAAGTAGAGCAAGGGAAGTGCTTAGACTTCAGGCATACAGTTGTGTTCAAAATAATAGCGGTCAGACATCACTAAGCTGATCAATCACTGTTTTCGGTAGAAATGATATTTCTACATGGCAAATAATTTACTAGCAGGTGTAGTAGAGTAATAGAAATCCAACAGACCCAACAGTCATGACATGCATGCTGCTGATTCTGTGTAATTGAATCACTAATTGAAAGGGGCATGTTCAAAATAATAGCAGTGTGGAGTTCTATTAGTGAGGTCATCATTCTTTGAAAAACAGGTGGCAATTATTGCCCTTATTTAAGGAAGGAAGGCAGCAAATGTTGTACATGCCGGTTACAGTGCATTTCTCTCTGAAATTCTGAGGAAAATGGGTCGTTCCACACATTGTTCAGAACAGTGCACCTTAATTAAAAAGTTGATTGGAGAGGGGAAAACATATAAAGAAGTGCAGAAAATGATAGGCTGCTCAGCTAAAATGATCGCAAATGCTTTAAAATGGTAACCAAAACCTGAAAGACGTGGAAGAAAGCGGGAAAACTACCATTCGAATGGATAGAAGAATAGCCAAAATGGCAAGGACTCAGCCAACAATCAGCTCCAGGAAGATCAAAGAAGGTCTAAAGTTACCTGTGAGTACTGTTACAATTAGAAGATGCCTATGTGAAGCCAAGCTATCTGCAAGAAGCCCCCGCAAAGTCCCACTGTTGAAAAAAAGACGGCCTAAAGAGAAATGGCGCAACATTTTTGTGGACTGATGAAAGTAAGATTGTTCTTTTTGGGTCTAGTGGCCGGACACAGTTTATCAGAGGACCCCCAAACACTGAATTCAAGCCACAGTACACTGTGAAGACAGTGAAGCATGGTTGCGCAAGCATCATGATATGGGGATGTTTCTCATACTACGGTGTTGGGCCTATTTATCGCATACCAGGGATCATGGATCAGTTTGAATACATCAGAATACTTGAAGAGGTCATGCTGCCTTATGCTGAAGAGGAAATGCCCTTGAAATGAGTGTTCCAACAAGACAACGACCTCAAACACACCAGTAAATGTGCAACATCTTGGTTCCAGACCAACAAGATTGACGTTATGGAGTGCCAGCCCAATCCCCGAATCTTAATCCAATAGAAAACTTGTGGGGTGACATAAAAAATGCAGTTTCTGAGGCAAAACCAAGAAATAGAGAAGAACTGTGGAATGTAGTCCAATCATCCTGGGCTGGAATACCTGTTCACAGGTGCCAGAAGTTGGTTGACTCCATGCAACACAGATGTACAGCAGTTCTCAGAAACAGAGCTTATACAACTAAATATTAATTAAGTGATTCAAAGGAAAGCAAAATCTTCAAACACTTTTCAGTTTATATAGTGAATGTTTGAGTGTGTAAATAAGAATACAAACACTGCTATTTTTTTGAACAGTCTAATATTCACTTTTCTTCAATTTTTTTAGAGGAACAACACAAATTTGATATATTTTTCTTCATGTTTTGATTTGGAATAGAATGTGTAGTGTTCCCAATGCATTTGTGTGTATGGAAATAAAAGCTATTAGAAGGATTTTGAGCTTTATTCACTTTTTTCAACACACTGCTAATATTTTGAACACAACTGTATGTCATGAGGCATGACTAAAATTTAACAGATAATAATTGCAGGATTAAAAATCAGGTTTCATACTACAAGCAATGGCACCAACTATTGTAACTTTTTTAATGCTGTGTCATTCATGCTTACCTAAAGGCTGCAAATTGAAAAACAGCCTTTAACGGTTATAATATTGTTCACCCACCCAGTGCCTGTTTTTTTTTTTTTTTCTAGCAGAGTGAGTAGTAAAATAGAACAGGACAGCACATAGAGCAACTAACCAGCATTCACATAGTGATCTTGATGGGACTTGATTAAAATGGATACATCTCACATTTCCCAAATTTTCTCTCCTTATCCTTTCTGAAAACTTTGTTCTGCAAGAAATGGAGAAGCAACTGCTGATGAGCCTCAACAGAGAATTTAGTATTCAATACTCTGACACTGTTGCAAAGGGAACTGGTGTCTAGCCAACAGTACAACAGTGTAGGCTATAGATCCAATCTGGCTTAGGCCAGAATGACAACAGGGGGCAGGACCAAGAATAAAAAAAATTTAAACATTTGCAGCAATTCTGCTTGGGGAGGGAGTGAGTGTTATAAGAAAACTTACTCCCTTTTGGGAGTTAAAGCGGAGCTCCACCCAAAAGGGGAAGTTCTGCTCCCACGCTCCCCATTAAGGATTGGCACCTTTGGGGGGCAGGGTACCCGAATTTGACAGGTACCAGCTCCCACTTCCGGTCCGATTGCCTAGGCGATCAGAAGCGGAAGGTGTCCTCCCTCCCTGTAGTCTTTTGGGACACATGACAGGTCCCAGAAGACTACAGGACCATTCATGATGCGCAGCGCTACTCACGCATTCGCAGTGGGTACCCGGCTGTGAAGCCACAAGCTGTCACAGCCGGGTGCCCACACTGAAGATGCCGGACTTCTGGAATACAGGACGGCCAGTTAAACGGGCTGTGGAGGACACACACCACGCGACCGAGGGACAGGTGAGTGTGTGTTTTTTTA